ACACACAAAGAGAGAGAGAGAGAGAGAGAGAGAGAGAGAGAGAGAGAGAGAGAGAGAGAGAGAGAGAGAGAGAGAGAGAGAGAGAGAGTACGTAAGTCTCCATCATGCTACTTCCATTGATAGGATGAGCAAACCAACCCCTGCTAGCTGGTGCTCTCGCGCCAATGATGTTTCTTCTAATTAAACAAAAAAAAGAAGAAAAAAGGATGACCAAATGGAATGAATGTACCGCTAGAACATGGAAATGACCAAATCGAATGAATGTACCCCTAGAACATGGAAATGACCAAATCCAATGAATGTACTGCTAGAACATGGAAATATACACTCCCACACTTGTTTGTGTGTGTGTGTGCCTGTGTCTGTGTGTGTGTGGCTAGAACATGGAAATATACACTGGCACATCTGTGTGTGTGTGTGTGTGTGTGTGTGTGTGTGAGAGAGAGAGAGAGAGAGAGAGAGAGAGAGAGAGAGAGAGAGAGATTCCCGTGAGTGCCTCCAACGGCGACAGGGGCACACTGAAAAGATCGATGGTGCCGGTAGGGGCATATCGGAAATTTTGCGAACGGCTATCGGGTAGGGGCACTACGAAAACATATGAGGCCCAAACGACACCAGGGTTTAATGGAAAATAAATTTGACTTCTGGTCAGAGGGGCGCGACAGGGTAAATCGGCTGTCGGAGGGGTGCGACGCAAATGAATGGAAAATACAGGGGCGCCAGACAAATGTTTCCAAAAAAGATCAAAACAAAAAACAAAAAACGACCGGGCGAGGAGCATGGATATCATCGACAAAATGACGTGTGGAGAAGAGAACTTGGCCTAGGTCCCACTAGCAAAGCAAAGTTGATTTAGCACCTGAATCTGGACATGTACATGGAAAGATGCGGAAATTCGAGATTGAACTGCTTTTCTGCACGTCTTATCAAAAGCACGTCCAGATTCAGGAGCTTAATCCAATCCTCATTGCGAGTGCGCCTGCGCGGCGTAGTGTAGTTATCATCGAGAGCGTGGGAAGTATGGGGGGACGTTGCGGTAGGAGTCGGGCTCGGGGGAAAGCGTTTCGCAAAGGGCGCGAGGGCCCTGACGGGCGAGTAGTGAGAGAGGCCAAGCGCGGTGGCGACCCCGACTGTCGTGCCACGCAGACTGCCACGACATCATCAAATCAAATCAATATTGCGTCCCATCTCGAAGTTGTTACGTTTTGAAAACGCTCGCAAAATTCGAAAACGCCCGCCATCCACTTCCACTCCCACTTCATTGAGCAGCATACTACGTCGTCCCGCCATGCATTGAGCGCGGTCACTCCAGTCTCCTCCCGCGCAAAAATTCATTTCACTACTTCACTTTCATTGGGTCGTACTCTCCGGTCGACATTCCCCATGGCGGCGAGCGGTTCAGTGTGTCAATATGTATGCTGTGGGGACTCACTACCGGTAGCGTCGAAAACCATGGAGCTCATCGGCCCCAGGGTGTGATTCCACCCCTCGACTGGTTGACTCTGCGGAGTGACACCCGTCCCAGTCGCAGGGTCATCCCCTGCAGTCTGTTCGGTCGCCGCGTCCGATCGGGCCGAGGGTGTGATTGCTGATTGCACACCTTAGGATCACCGACTCGTGACCCAAGATTGCAAAGATCAGTGGTCGACACGCGGCAATTGTTCGGGGCGCTGTCCTTCGGCTGTGTCAGCGTGATCAGTACTGTGTCTCCCTTGGAGGAGGTGAGGTTTGGCGGCGTGCGCGCCTCGCCTCAATGTAGGCGGCGGTTTGGCGGCGTTCACGCCAAAGACCCTTTGGAGCTGCGTCGCCCATTGCAACGTATGCGAAGCTGCAACTTAAATGCAACAGCAGCATACGTACAAATATCGGAGACCGGAGAAAGCAGGGCACTTTTTTCGAGCTCCACTGGTTGTTGTGGATTCCATACGTTGTTGTACCCTGGCGGTAACTGTGGAGCAAGCGGTGAAGCGGCGTTGTCGATGACCTCTGTCTGGGCTAGTGAGCTCTGCTGCAGGTTCGCTGGCCGGACGTGGGCAGCGTTCGGCAGCGGAAATGCCTGTAGAAGCCATCGCTGGGCGGGGAGAAATGGCGGATTTCGGGCTGGTCTAGGTTGTGCTATCGATCGGTCGGTCAGCTTTCCGGTCGCTACGCCAGCGGGATTGCGGCGGAGCATCAGCTACAGAGGAAGGAGGAGGGCGGGGACGGGGAAGTTGCTGCGCGAAGTGGACCAGGTGCGACGTCGAGAGCTGCGGTTCGTTGGTGTTGATCGCGGCTTGCGCTTCCTGCGGACTCAGCTGGCCCGGACGACTAGCCGCTCTCGATCTTGCCGGAGGAAACCTCTGTTTGAAACTCGCGGGCTACGCTCTTCTTGTCGTGGAGCTCCTTCGAAGGTAGAGAGCTCGCAGACTCGTGGTCGTCGTTTGCGGCATGGAGAGACTGGATTGAGCTTTGCCGACGGAGCCTACGATCGCCTCCCGCCGCTGGTGAGACACGTGTCTGCGCCATTTTCGCCGCAGGTACGTGCCCGTTTGCGCCGACCTGTTTGCGCCTGTTTTGCTTCGAGCTCGACCATCCCAGATTCCATCGACGAAGACGACGTCGAAGAAGAAGACGACTCCGCTTCTCCTGCCTTGCTCGGTGTTGAAGACCACCTTTCTGGTGTTCCCGCAGGATTGGCTGTCCGTTCTCCGCGGCCACTGGTCCATAGCGAGGAGGGCCTGGAAGAAATGGCGGCGGGCATCTTCACTGGAGAACTGCCATCGCCTATGGCGATTGTCGACGGCAAACTCATGGTGCACGGGACATCGATCCTCACGGAAGTGCCAAACAATGTCATAATTTCCCCTGATGAGACTATGTGGGGTGCCACCGGGGCTTTCCTAGGAGCCGAATTCGACAGTTCCAGCAGCCGCCACGTGGTGTCCTTGGGTGTTCTGCGGTAAGTTTTCTCTCTTGCCTGCGCTTGTCTGTGTACTTATTATAAATCTATCGACGGGTTGGTGGTTTGAATGCTGTAGAGTTGCACGAAAAGTGGCCCCGCTCAGACCACGGAAGCGATTAGCACCGTTGTTCTTTTCCTGATTGGATGGTTCCCCGACGGGATTGATGAAGATATTTGATGGCCGACAGATTGATTCATCTGTTATGTGGGCCGGTGAATTGCCAAATGCGAACGTGTCCACTATTTTCTTAAAGGACGTAGGCTAACTAATTGTGCCCCCGCCCAGAGGGCCCCTATTATGGATCTGTGCTTCTTGCGGGGCTTTCCTCGGAGCCCAATTCGACAGTTCCAGCAGCCGGCACGTGGTGTCCTTGGGTGTTTTGCGGTAAATATTCTCTCTTACCTGCGCTTGTCTCTTTACTTAAGTATTAATCTATCGACGGGTAGGTGGTGTGATTGCTGTGGAGTCGCACAAAAAATGGCCTCGCTCAGACCACGGAAGCGCTTAGCACCGTTGTTCTTTTCCTGATTGGATGGTTCCCCGACGGGATTGATGAAGATATTTGATGGCCGACAGATTGATTGATCTGTTATGTGGGCCGGTGAATTGCCAAATGCGAACGTGTCCACTATTTTCTTAAAGGACGTAGGCTAACTAATTGTGCCCCCGCCCAGAGGGACCCTATGGGTCTGTGCTTCTTGCTCTATCTCACAGGGTGTACTGTTTGGTTTAGTGTTTGGTCTAGTTATTACTTTGTTCATCCCGTCGTTCGCAGGAATTAATCAGCTTTGGGGGCGACTGCTTCAATAACTCAAGAGACTGCTCTGCATTCGGATTAGATTACCCGAATAGGCTTGTGAACGAGGAAACTGGACACGAACTGAAAGGTTGTGGTGCAGAAATGAGGAAAAGAAAGGAGGTGAGGACGGACAAGAATCAATCGAATAGGTGATGCTGTCTTTGTTCCGCTTCGATCTCCGCTCTTTTTTGAATAGGTGATGCTGTCTTTGTCTCGCTTCTATTTCCGCTCCTTTTTCTTAAGTACGCTCCCATTTGATTTCACATCTGCTATACAGTCCTATCACCTGCTTGCCACCTAGCGCAACACGAACCCCGATCAGGAATGTATACGAGCTACCTTTCAGGTCTGATACGATCATAATGATATGCGTTGTGTGCGGGGAACACGAACCCCGATCAGGAATGTATACGAGCTGTCTTTCAGGTCTGATACGATCATAATGATATGCGTTGTGTGCGGGGAAAGAAGCCTAGAAGGGATTTGATAGCTTTGGCGTAATGTAGTATACTTACTATACTACCGTCTTAACCCGAATAGAACGTACGGTCATTATAGCTGTTTTTTTTGGGGCAACTTCAGTGTAGATACAGCAATAACGACCGTACGTTSTAAAGACGGTAGCGCACACTGAAGAAGTCACTGGTAATTTTTTCATCTTGGATTTCCCATTAAGCTCCTTACAACCCCCCTCCCCCCTGAATTTGAGGGTAGTAACAACTTTAGATTATTATGGTGGTTCATCGTTATAATACTAAATTTAGTTTATTATGGTGGTATCATCGTTATGATGATGCCCATGATCACTTGGCCGTGCCTCTGATTGATTGGGTCTTGTTCTTCGCTGAACGACCGCCATCCAAATAATCTTCCACGATCTGGTCAGCGAATCATTTTACAGATGCTTTTGTCAGCGAATTATTTTACAGATGTTTCTCCTGTATATGTTTGGTTGGTGAATGAATGAAATTCTGGTGTGCCCCTGAACCCCTGTTCAGGGGTCCCCTGTATAGGCTTATCGGAGTAGTTGTAGGTAGGTAGGTAGGTAGGTAACAGAGGTGAATTTAAGAGGAGAGCATAGCATTGTTGAAAAAGAAGAAATTATGGTGTCCAGAGATTCGGGGACGATTTGCTATTTGTCGGGCATCAGTCGCGTGTCGAGGTGTGAGGGATGCTGATCTCATGGATATGTGGATTGATGTGATCTATCGCTGATCAATCCAGGTCCGTGGTCAATGGTTTTGACTTTATTTATAGTTCTTAACTGGAATGGGAGAGGCGAAGCGTACAGCGGGCTTTGGTTTGATCGAGTTGGAGCAGGCTCTCGGTTCGTCATCGTCAGAAGCTTTTGTTGCGAACAAGTCCCTCGCGAAAACGAGGCCGGACACAGGAGGACAACTGCTCCCCGAGCTGATCGCACCAGCCATGCAGATTAGTGATCCTCTTAGGTTGTGTTCGTTCGATTTTGTTAGCAAATTGGATGGACAGACATCGTCAGAAGCTTTTGTTCTTGGGTTGTGCTCGTTCCGATTTTGTTAACAAATTGGCTGGACAGATCGTGGACAATCAATTAAATAAATGGTTGAGATGATGCGGAGCACAAAGATGGATGGCTGGACGGATGCGTTAAACTTTGCGGGCGGACAATTTTAATTGCAGGTTAATTGCCTGGTCAGCTAAATGGATGGCTGGACAGATGAACGGATGGATGAGGGGCGATATGATGACGTGAACTTGACCATCAAGTTATTATGGGGCAGACAGTTTCAAAAAATTCCAGGTCAATTGCCTGGTTAGCTAAATGGATGGCTGGACAGATGGATGAGGGCTATGATGACGTGACCTTCTGATATTTCTATGGGACGTGCCTGTTGAGAAATTTCTATCGCCGGTGAGACGGTCGCTTGTACTAATTTGCATGGAAAAAGAAATAGGACAGTCATGTAATCAAGTTCTTGGTGGACAATTGGAAACCTGCAAACAGCGGGGCAGGATTTATTATTGATAATAAGCTCTCGAAAAAAAAACACGACTGCAAACTTAACGATTGTTATCAAATTCGGTTAATGATGATAAGCTCTGGATCAAAAACAGGACCGCAAAATTGACGAGCGTTATCAAATCCTTGAAAAAGCACGGACCTCTAGTTTTTTTTTTTTTTTTTTTTAATTATTTTTTCTAATTTTTATTATTATTATTATTATTTTATTTTTACGGACCTCTAGTTTTGTTGTCCGTTGCCAACAGTTGCGAATAGCATATTACTATAATGTGTTAATCTGCTGACAACGGGTCAGGATGTACTAACGATAATATGCTAGCGATACGAAACAAGGCTGGCTGCAAAAATAACGATCGTTATCAAATCCTTGGAAAATAGTACGAACTGCATTCTTTATAAGATCGATCGTTTTTTTCTTTTTTTTTTTTTTCAAAAATTGGGACCATTTCTCGATTTCTGCGTGTCATCCTTGCGCAGGTTTTTTTGTCCGCTGTCACAGTTGCGAATAGCTGGCATATGTAGTTCTTTTTTTTTTTTTTTTTTTTTTTTTTTTTTGCGCCTGTAGTTCTCGGTTACGGTGTTATTTCTAAATATGTAGTATCTGGCTGAGTCCATATGGGATGACGATCTCAATCTCGTCAAGTTGGCTTTCGATCTTTCTTTCTGTTGTGCAGCCGACAGTGGAATAGTTGGCTTTCGATCTTTCTTTGTGTTGTTCAGCCGACCGTGGAATGTACCAAAACTTAACGAACGATTTAGTTTTGGTAATCCCTTTTGTTCTTTTGCTGTATCTGGCTGGCTCCATATGGGATGACGATCTCGATCTCGATCTCGATCTCGATCTCTTCAAGTTGGCTTTCGGTCTTTTTCCGTGTTGTGCAGCCGACAGAGTGGAACGTATGAAACTTGATGAACGGTTTAGTTTCCGTCATCGCTTTGTCCTTTCCCTGTTTCGGTCATTTGTTGTACAATTTTTAACGCTGTTATTTTACCCGATCATTCTAGTTCTTCTGCGGTCCCTAGTTCTTATGCGATCGCCTGAGGCTTGACGAAGATTTGTCCCTCATCGTCGTTCTATGTTTTCAACGCATATCATGCTTACCGCTATCGACCATGTTAAGTTGAACCTGGCTGGCTGTATACCTCATTTTGATGATGGCGGCAATCGATTCTCTGTATGGGCTATATTGCGCTGTCCCCATATTTCCCACAGAGATTCTGAACCTCTCTCCCCCTCCCTCTCTCTTTCTCTCTCTCTCTCTCTCTCTCTCTTGCGTGTGATCAGTTCTATGCTGACTTACGTGCAAGAGGCGAGCCTTGCCCGAGTGTATGTTGGGATTCATGAGCGTATCTATCCTTGGGGGCTGTGGATAGCCGCGGTGATTAATTCTAGCCCGGGATTCCCTTACAATGTTGGACGTTGGTTTATGATCGCAGGGATCTTCGATTTGTGTGCTGTTTTCGTTTCAAGCTGTGGTGGATGGCCCAGGGAGTGGGTTCGCGGGGGAAGGACGTGCCAGTGGAAACTCAGTTTTTATTAGTCGAGGGATCGGAGACGGAGGAGAGTGCCCTCGGTAATCGCACTGGCAGTAGCGACTCGTTGTCTGAGCTGCTGGCTGGTGGAGGTGTTTTTGGCGCTGGCCAGGTTGACGAGACGGCCGCTCATGGGAAGAGAGTGTACACGGTATTCCTGCCGCTCTTGGAGAAGGCTTTCCGGGCCTGTTTACATGGCAACGAGAAAGATGAGCTGGAGCTTTGTATTGAAAGTGGTAAGTGGTTGTTTGTTCTTTTTTTTTTATAAATGAAATTAACTTTTTTGCTAATTCATATTGAATGAAATTAACTTTATTGCTCAATTCATATATAGCTGTCCCCTGACGAGGAGAAGACAGCTTTAAAAAAGAAAAAAAGAAGGGAGAAAAAAACAAAGAAAGAGGCCGGGGACATCACAATTCGACCCGGATACTGAGAGCATTACTCAGCTCCTCTTACAGCCAGAGGCGCATGTGGTCATGTTTGGTACTGCATGTCTAATGCTGGATTCAATACTCCATATTCTGGTCTTCCCTGACGAACTTGAAGTGTCGCAGTTAACAGCGATGTTGGCGTCGTGTTGTTGATTTTTTTTTTTTTTTTTCCCGTGTGTGTGCGTGTACAGTTAATAAGGAATGAGGCTCCTACTAAGAAAAAGAAAGCACATGAGGCTCCTGGAGTGCCGTAAGGACATGAGGCTTCTAGAATGCTGTTGTCAATGTTTCTGAGAGCATACACTACAGTAGCACTTTTCTAGATGCATCTGACTGCTTTTAGCTGGATGAATCTGACTGCAATCACGTCCAGAGCTAAGTAGAAAAAAAGTCCCGAGTGCTGTAAGGACATGAGGTTTTTAGAATGCTGTTGTCGAGGTTTCTGAGAGCAAACACTACAGTAGCACTTTCCTAAATGCATCTTACTGCCTTTAGCTGGATGAATCTGACTGCAATCACATACACTAGAGTAGCACTTTCCTAAATTCATCTTACTGCTTTTAGCTGGGTGAATCTGACTGCAATCACGTCCAGATCTAAGTAGAAAAGAAGTCCCAGTCTGGATCAGCACCCTGCCTCGGAAATCTTAGGAGCGGCAAGTGAAAACAGTGGCCATTGACTGCTGCTCGCACATGCAACCGCAGATAATCAGTACTCTTCCGCATATGAAAACAGTTCTCAGTGGAAACGCGCACATTCCTCGAGGCGTTTCGGCCAGGCTGCGCTCCTGGGATTCCTCGAGGAACTTCTGCGCAGATCGCCTTTAGGCATCACCACGCTTTCCATCCATCCGTCTGCGAATAGGTGGCCGACGACCTTACCCTCTCGTATATACTGCTCACCTAGCTACAGGCGTAGTCACACGGGCGCGTGTTAGCCTGCTGCGTCATTCAGTTACGTGTCCGCAGTGTGGTTTTCAATTTGATACCTTTTTTTTTTTTTTTTTTTGGATACCTCTTTTTCATAATAACAACAAACATTACTCCCTCGGTTTAAAACAAATGTGTGCCCTGGCATGCCGTGTAGTATCTTTCAATATATGGAGTTCACTCGCTGCTTGAGTGTGCTCGTCTTTCCAATTGCTGACTGAATGGATTGCACTTGCACGTTTTTTTTTTTTTTTCGAGGAGCGAATGTGTTTTCGATCTCCCTCTTCCTCTTATTAGGATAATCGGGTGAGTGAGTTGCTTGATGTGTGTACTGCTGTGCATGTGTGCAGGTGATCCTGCTGTCGAAACCAAAAGCGCTGCTGCTGCCGTTTATGTGTCTTCTGGTAGAAACCCTTTCAACGTGATTACTGATGCTGTGAGGTAAGTAAGGAATTGGAGATGCTGGAGGAACGAACATGATCATTCCTCGGAAGGCTTATGTTTGACGAAGATAAAGTTTTGTGTTTTTTCTTCTTTGGAAATGAAGATAATCCTTCGACATGATTTGGGTTCTCCTGGTGTTTTGGCTTCACATAAATTGTGTGTGTCCACCAAGTGTAGGCTTGCATGGTTGAGTTGAACTTGCACCTCATGGCGATCTCGCAGAGCTCGGGAAACCGATCCCAACGAACACTAAACTCGCCTGAAGAGGGCATATTTTAATTTTAATCCTATGATTCTAGTTTGAAATCACTGTTACTTCAATGATATATGGCTCCAATTAAACCTAATGAGGGTGTTGGTGAATTCGTGCCAGTGCCAATCAGGACTGGCAGCTGAGAAACGGCATATAAGTACGGTGTTGCTCATCTCATAAAGTATGCACCTAGTCAGCCTTCTATGATTGTAATTCAAGAGGTGTATTATGGTTTTAATTCAACAGCTGTGGGGCTTCCTTCTACAGGTGTGTGCAGCCCATTGACAGTATGAAAGTGATGGATGATGCGGCAAAGGACAACCGTAGGCGTGCAAGCAGTGCTACCGCTAGGACGTTAAAAGTTGAAGTTACTGACAAACAAATAAGGAAATGTGTACTCAGTACTGTATTGTGGACTCGGACTTGGCGGCGTGTAAGCAGTGCTAGGACGTTTACAGTTTTTTTCCCTTTTGAGTTTTTTCCCCTTTTCTTTCAAAACTAAGCTAGATTCTTCTCTCATATCCACCTTACAGTTTCAACTGCTCACAAACGGATAGGGAAATGTGGATATACTACATACTGCTTATTCTCTGTGAACGCCTGTGGCTCCGATATGTTGGTCGCAGGTCGGCCAGGTAGTAGTATTTTAGGTAGCAGCGCGGCAAAAAAAAGAATTCAATGCAATGCAATTCGTGGCAATGTTTCTTGACGCTGGCTGAGCTCTTTCTTTAGTGGCTCAGCAAGTTGGTTGCTTCGAGATGTGGGCATAGGCAGATGGTTTGAAAACTGGATAATCTTCCTCGAGTGCTGAACGGGCGGCTCACAACATTCCTTAAGTTTCCAGATTCGTCGAACTTTGTATTTTGGAAGCATAAACAGTATATTGAAATACAGTTGTACTCAATTCTGTTGGTAATATTGGAATGTAATCATTATCTACAACTAAGAAAATTCCCAGCAAAAAGATAAGTCCAATAATACC